GCGATCCCGTACGCCGACTCGCTCTCGTCCTATGTAATCCTGCATGAGCGCTATGACCTTGGCGCAGGAATCCACTACGTACGAGGTCTTCGTTGAGCCGCTCTTCCGGGATCGGCGAGAGATACGATTGCGCGACGTCGGGCATGAGCGCGGGCCAGTCCATGTCGGCGCGGGCGAGCAAGTGACTCGACTCGTACCGATTGATGGGCTTGGGCCGGCGCTTGCAGCGGCGGTAGAGCTCATAGAGACCGTAGGCGGCGAGACACGCGGCGAGACCAACGGCGACGCCTGCGAGCAGGTGCAGCCACGGGTGGTCCGACGCTTCGATCCCGAGCATCGCCATTCTAACGACGACCAAATGGTGATAGACACGCCCCATTAGACAGGCGGCGGCAATTTGTTCGGATAATAAATTAACACCTGCGGCAGCGGATGATAGGCAGCCAAGAAGAAGACGAACGAGTGGACGACTTGGTCGTGGCGCCGCCCCAGCAAAAAGCGCAGCACGGTCCATTGTTATAGCACCCTGCGCCGAGGCTGCCCCGGTGCAGCCTTGCGCCGCACGATGGAGCGGTCGCGACGCGTATCCGGACCGTACGCTGTTTGTTACAGTGTATTTTTCTGGTTTCGGTGGCGGCGAGTCGTCTGCGGTGGTGCAATTGCTGTCATGGATTCCCTCGCGCCACCAATTATTGCACCGCGTCGGCGGTACTAGCTATCAGTAGTCTCTTGCCGGTGACGATCAGCCACCGACAGCCGCCGTGGAGGCGACCATGAACAATGGCATAACAATATTTCCTAGTCATCAACAACCACGTGCCAGCATCACGACGTGTCATTTGCATCATTGGGTCAAGCAGCGCAAGGTGGCGGTCGTCGAAACATGGCGGAGCTTGTATGACGAGTTGTGGTGTCTGTCAGGAGCCCGAGGATTGCCAACTTGCCAAAGAGCTATGATGAAGCGAACAAGGTAGCTTACTCGTCCGCACTATCGTCCTCACTCTTGGCGCCCATCGGATCATCGCCATCGTCATCGTCATCATCATCATCTTCGTCGTCGTCGTCGTCGTCGGAGAGGAGCGCTTCGTCGAGCGCACTCTTGCGCTTCGGAAGGAGGTTCATGGTCTCGAGTTGGAAGCGATCGACCAAGCGGGGCAGTGCAATGTTGCAAAAGTACTCTTCGCGCAGGAGGAGGTCCGCGACTTCGTCCATGTGCAGCACGTCCCAGCCCATCGTCTTGCGGAAGCGCACCTTGCGGTAGTCGGAGAGGAGGTTCTCGAGCACGGGGTAGATCTCGACGGGCTTGCCCGTGAGACGCAAGTACATGGCGCCGAGCGCCGTAACGTACTTGTAGTCGCCATTCTCAATAAATGTCATGACGACGTCCATGTCGGGCTGCATCTGCAGCATCTTGAGGAGCAAGCACAGGAACGGCGACGGCTGCTGGTTGCCGCCAAAGTGGCCCGCAATGTAGCTGAGCTCGATCGCCTTCTCGACAAGCGTCTCTTCCGTGAGGCCAAAGCAATGCTCTACAAAGACGACGACGACAATGACGATAGCATGCATGCGGGCACGCGTACCCTTCCAGTACATGCAGTCGTAGATGCGATTCCGGAGGATCTTCTCCTAGAAGAAGCAGACGCATGGAGATACGAGGTAGGTAGACGCAAGCAAGCAGCCTTACCACGAGATGCTGCGGGTTCACGCCATGCACATGGGTCACGCCCACGTCGGTCGCGTTCATGTTGGCCCGTCGGTTTTAGGCCAATCGCGGCCGGCCAAGGATCTTCCATCGCTGTGATTGGTTCAAAATCCAAGGATTTGCAACGGAGATCACCATGACCACTGCACCGCGTCGTCTCAAAGCTCGCACAGTCCGTAGCCCTTGCATCTGTCAGTGCACAAGGCTCTAACATAAGATCTGGTTTTTCTGCAAGACGAGCTTTGGACAAGCGAGCCTTTGAATGCACCCCCACCAACAAACGGTAGGTATGCGTAGCAAGGGTGTCGCCATCGAAGAAGACGTTGGTCGTGCATGAACATGCACGAGCAGTTGCTGGACGAGCGAAACGACTTGGGCTGCAGAGAAAAGGTGCGTCGCTGGAACAACGCGCCACGTCGGTTGGACATCGAAGAAGAAGACGAAGACTGTCGGCCTGTTGACGCCTTGGCACTGGCGAAATGGACAGAATCGTGCTCACGGATGAGTTCTCGCACTACCGAGAGGTGACGGTCACCATCGAGACGCGCGGACCGCGCTGGCGCCGCCGGTTTGCCAAGCGGCAGCAGCGGAAATGCGACGCCCAAGTGTCGACGCCTGGCCTCCTGCATGCGATCCACGAGTTTATGGTCGAGCACGCGCCGAGCGAGCCGCTCCTCACTGCAACCATGGCGCGCTGGCAGCGCGATGTGCGCGCGCGGGTCGGCGACCTCGTGCTGCGGCCACGTCGGTCGTTTTTCCATCGTTGATGTTTACCATCGCTCTATCAACTCGATACATAAATTATACCATTTTGTCATTCTGAGTGGAGGAGGTGCCACGTTGACAAAGCCAAAGTGTGTCGTCCATTCATATTACATCCACAATCGTCTTGACTTATACTATCGTAGTACTCGCGTATAAAACTCTTGGAGCCCGATCCTGCACCACAGTGTCTAAATAGATTGCGGTAGCCGTCTTCCATCGTGCT